TTTTAAACATTTTCTAATGGTGGTGTGCCTCGTGATTTTTTTCATGAAAAAAGTGTGCCTTTGCACAAAAAAGGTTGAAAAACACTGCTGTAGACTTTGTTGAATACTTGAAAAAAATTGCTTTCAAAAAATCCTGGTGAACTCAGGGACAGGCTTTAAGTTCTCCTTCTTCCTAGAGACAATTCTTCCTTCTCTTGTCTACAGGAAAATGGTCCAAAATGGAAGAGAAGAGGGGCTTGGGGTATTGAGTATCCAGGACCCCATCTTCCACCCCGTGTAGTGTCTGAGCCAACAAACTCCAAAGAGAACCAATGACAACTCCACTGGCAGTTATAAACAACACATGGCTTGGTAACTGCAATACTGGTCATGTTTCCCTGAAGGGAATGTGGCAGAGAGTTGAAAGGCAATCCCTTCTTTGGCTGCAGTCATCAGAGAAATTCTCTACTGTCCATACATAGGAATTTCCATTTGTGAGTTGTTAGTCATGAGAGCTAACTAGGCTTTTTAACAAAGGAAAATAAAAGGGAAAGTAAAGGGGGAAAAGGGGGGGATCTATAATACTTTCTATTAAGTATTCAACCTCAACAACTTTTAAAATGTGTGGACTTCAACTCCCCAAATTCCCAAGCCAGCATGTCCATTTATCTTAAAGTTGCTGAGATTTAGAAACAATGATCTATGTTAACATGTGGATTGCTGTCAGAACCTTTGTATAGATTTATTCCCCAAAGCAAGGCAAGGCTAGAACTGGGGAAAGGAACTATTCCCCTCCCATGGGAGGAAGGATTAAGAGAAAACTATGTCCTGCCTCTAGGATGTGTAGGAGCAGATACTCACTATCGGGTGCCCTGGCTCCACTGTGGCAAAATGGTCAAAGTGTTTCCTCACTGGCAAACAAAGATGCAAATGGCATAATTTGATATTATCAATAGGGACATTAAATGGATGTTAAGAACCATCAACAAATCAAACACATAGTCGTGGAATTTTGAAACTCAAAATACTCCAGCATAATCAGCAGATATAGTTACAGTTGAGCCAAACCACATGCACACAGTTCCATTTAGTTCCTCCTTTCTCTGAATGTTTACTATTCAAAGTGGTTGTGTTAAGAATCATGTTAAATGTGCTTGTGCTTATGCTCATCTTGTTCACGGGACCTCCTCCATCATTCAAATCCTGCTTTCAGTGTCCAAATTGCACTCAGTTCCCTCTGGCTATCTAACAGGCTCCCTCCCTCCCCTCCCCGTGCTTCTGCTCAGGATCAAACATAATTGTCCTAGATTTCTTAAAAGCAAGTTTCCTTTTTCTGTCTGTCTTTAATTTAAAGGTAAAGATTAGCAAAATGATCTGTGCCTAAAACTGTTCAAGCATGAGACAGCTATTTTTAGATGACTTGTGCCTCAAGTAAAACATATGTTTCAAATGTTTTGGTTTGTGTACAAATTTGTTTCTAATCAGAAGAGGGCATGGGAGGGAGAAGGGAGGTGGAACTTATGGACGTTAGAATTGGTGGTTGAGGAAATGGGAGAAATGGCTGAAGCATGTCACTCCCTCTCTCCCCTCAGCAGCTCCCGGCATGGCGTATCACATCAGCCCACCTATGCCCTGATCTTCCCAATGCTTTCTACACCTTCTCTCCCTCCCTTCAATCATGTCTAGTATCCAGTGTGGAATATTCCACAGACTGCTCTCCTCAATTTTCTCAACATCTATCTTCTCTTCCCTCCAATGCAGATACAGGGGAATGTTGGCATGAATATCTATGGAGATTCTCAGTCCTCCGGGTCATGGTTCTCCCACATGTGTTTTTTCAAGAGGCAACTGGATTTCCTAGGTTGGTTTTTTTTTTGAAGACATTTTGCTTCTCATTCAAGAAGCTTCTTCTGCTAAAAGCTTTGGGTTGGCATGAATAGTGACTGCATTCTGGAATATGAGATGGTGCTGTGGAGAGGGTTGGGTAATGTTGCCATGAGTCACCAGTGGCAACTGAAGGAGGGGAAAGTACTGGGAAGATTGAAGATCAGGCCAGCAGTGTATGTTGCACTGATGCATACATGGGAACAGCAAAAGGGATGGAGGAAAAAGAAGACTCTAGGGTGAAGGGGGAGCAGGCTTGAGGGATATGACATGTTGGCACTTGCTGAAAAAGAGGAAAGCAAGAGGGAGGAATACATAGGCAGCTTCCTTTATTTCCCTATCCATTTATGTTTTATCCAAAATTCAGAACAGTGAAAACATTCTGGGTATGATGTTGGCCAAATGGTAACTAGAATGGTTTCCCAGAACATGTAGAAAGTAGTGATTTGTTCCAAATTGAAACAGAACTCTTTTTTTCATTTTGCAAACTCCCTATTTATAAGTACATTTCAGTGTGCGATTGACTCGATTCTAGTTCTTGCAGAAGGTGAAGAGAGATGGAGACCACCACAATTCAGCCATTCTTTTGGGGAAAAAGAAAAGGCTGCTGTATTTCTCCACAAAGTTAAATCCAACTTACTTACTTCTTAATCACAAATCGGATCCGTTCCTTTGCCAGTAAAATCCGTTCCAGACGTGGGATCCCATAAGTGGAGGGTCTACGAAAAGGAATTCCTTCTGGTAATCCTTCCACATACAGATCTTCAACATGAGATTGGAAGAGTGGATACGGGATAGATACAGGCCCTTTTGCATTAATAGCTTCAGCTTTAATGTAAACAAGGAAAAATTATATTACAGTTTAAATAAAGAATGCCAAACTATTTGCTCCCAAGGATGTTGAATGTAACCAACATAATGACATGTTTCAATGGACCCTATTTTAAATAAAGGAAGGGACCCCCAAGGTTCCAAACCTGAAACTGATGCCAAGTAGCATCAATGACTAATAGTAATTTTCATTAACAATATATTAGCACCCTGGTTTTGAGCTCTTAACACATACAGCATAGTCAAACTATGATTCAGAATTAACTAGTTTTATTTTTTCTAATGTGTTTAACATTGTAATCTCTCAGCGCAGGTCCTCTACAGCTATAGTAATGATCATAAATCTGGATTGCTAGTGCAGCTATTTCATCAAGCTATAAATGGTACAGACCCAGACCAATTTGTATTTTATTTTCTGATTTGTTTATTTTTCTGATTCAGAAGTATCACACTAGTTCACACAGATACCAAACCTCAACTATAAATCTATGCCATGTCCATGTTAACCCAGAAGTTGAGTTTACTTGCTATTCACAAATATGTTCTGTAGGCCTGCAGTTGGATGATCACACCTACAAAAGGATGTTTTCATCTAGAGTCAGGATGTAAAAATGTAATAGGACCATCTTACGTCTCCCTCTTTCTGTATTCTCATCATTTCTCAGGGGGAGAGGAGGTGGGAGCAAATAACCCATTGAACAGAGCAACACCTGCATTTGGCAGGAAGTAAAAAGAGAGAAGAAAGAAGGGGTTTCAGTTCTTATTCTTAAGGTGACTCAAAATAAGAGAGCTTTGTCTCCCAATCTTCTGCATAGGCAAAGAAGACACTGTAATATAGTTCACTTCAGAATCCTCAATATCTAACGGATTCTGCCAATGCACAGAGATTGGACTGATCCAAAAATTGTCAAGGGAGAATTGTAGATTCAAAATTAATAGGACAGGTAATTTGTGATTTCAGGGTCATCTAAAATTTCAAGAATCTTTGAATTGTGCAGTGGCTTTACCACTGCTGGAAAACTGGCTTTTAATGTTTTGAGTCTAGCAATTGTTCTCTTTTATCAAAAAAGAAATCAGCCTCATACTGTGATCGCAGCCAAAGTAAAATAATAATAGAATAGCAAAATGTTTGCTGGTCTTAAATACTGCGAGGTCTTCTAGGATTTGAGGAAAGTGGCACATCTGGTCCATTGTACTACAGTCTGAAATAGTATCTGTGAGCCAGGAAATGCTGCTGAACAATGCAATATGTGGATTGGGGAGATAGGTTAGGAGTAAATAAGGTCTACCCAAACGAAAAGACATCTATGCAGCCAATATAAAAACGTCGTATTTTCATACATTTTTCACATCCCCTTCCTTTGCCTCTAAATTCAACTTTTTAAATGTTAGGCAGCTGCAGACATAGAATACAAAAACTGCACATCAACATCTTCAAAATGTCAGATACACTTGACTCTGAGTGGAAACTTACCAGGAATTTTCTATTTTGTTAATTTATTGTTTTGTTATTTTTCCCTGTTTTGTTTTTACTTTAAGATAGTGTTTGTTTTGTGGTGTTGGCAGTACTAAAAGGTTGGAGCTGGCATTCTACTTGGAGCTAGCAACTGGAGCTCACTGTGTTGATAGCCAGAATGTAATTCTCCAAAACATTTAGGAGTGGCAGCTTGACATGGCATATCCTAAATGACCTCTTTCTGAAAGAAGGCCTTGGTTTATATTAAGGGTCTTCAGGAGATGATGTGGCAGAAATTACATCTGGAGCACCAGTAAACTAAAAATGAATTTGATTTGAGCACAAAAGCTCATGCTTAAATATACAGTGTGATAATGATTGCCATATATACTTAAATTTGTCAAAATCTATGCCGTCTCCTAGGTGGGGTGTGGAGGAATTTAGGATTCATTCCGGCTTGTTAGATTTGGATGAAGTGGAAAGTAGCTGGAAATCCATGCTCTTCCTGGCTCTTTTGGGCAGTTAGCATGTATTGGTTTGTAACCAGTTTCAGAAAGCTGGCAGAACTCTTTGATACCAGGGGTTGTCTCACTGTATTTAAGTTGCATATCCCATTCAGAAGAAGTCTTCCTTGGAAACAGCAATCTTGGATAATTATTATCTGGATAATAATTTCCAAGAAAAAAGCAGTCTGGCTCCAGAAGTGTATCTTAGATAAAGTATCCTTTTTTTCAGCCTTAATCTGATACTTGGTATTCTTTACTATACTCTACAACTAAAGAACATAGATTTTTTTTAAGTGTGCAAAAAAAAAAAAGTCAGAGAAATAAAATTATGAACAGAATTGAGCTGCAGTAGAATATGAAAACTTTTTGAGGCATAAACTGGGTAAAGTGGGAAACAGAATTGGAGGAGGAGATTAAGAGTACCATCATTAACACTAGCTTAGCTTGTCACGAGATTCCTATCTTCCAAGCAGTATAGATTAACTCATAAAGATGCCTTTTCAAACCGTACAGGAGAAAAATTAATTCCCGGAAAATATGCAATATTAATACTGTTTTTATTTTGTGCAGGTGCCTGGCTACAGCTTTTCTTGGCAGCGTATTTAAATTCCATGCAAAGGATTTGCATTCTTAGGAAGCCAAGTCTAAAAACAATTATCTTGCAGAACTTCCAACAGCAGGCCCTTCAGTAAAGCAGAAAATACTAAAACCTATTGCAATCTCTCTAAGTCTGCAGAACCAATCAGTTATAAGCACTCTTTGGCACTGACAGCTCTTGGACAATGGCAGAACAATACACCAAAAGACTCAATGGCATAAAGAAGTCAAACTTTTAAAAAGTTATTAGAAGTATTTAAATATAACTGGACAACTGGGGAGCGGGGGAAGAAGACACATACCATATTTTCTTTCAAATAATTCTTCAACTTGCTTTCTCAAGTCTGTAATTCGGGCATTCCATTTCTCTGAAAGGAAAAAAAGCACCTTTTAGCGCTCTAGAGCAGGGGTATCAAACTCAATTTCATTGAGGGCTGCATCAAGGTTGTGTTTGATCAATGGGGGGGGGATGGAGGGAACAGGGCCAGTTTGACATCACTCATGTCAGAGGTACCTGGGGTGGCCAAGTGCTAAGGAAGCACTTCCTTCAGACACTCCCTTCCTCTTATAATCTCCTTCCTTCCTTCCTTTTCTTTTTCCTTCCCTCTTCATTCTTTCTTCTTCCTTCCCTCTTTCCTTATTTTTCCTTCCTTGCTCTTTTCTCATCTTCCCTTCTTTTTCTTTCCTCTTTTCCTTTCTCCTTTCCTGTCCCTTCTTGGATGCTCAAATGCAAAAGTGGAAACATTTCTCCTTGTTTTGTTTTTAGTTTGTTTTGCTAGCCCTCTGCCAGCAAAAACAGAGCTCCGGGAAGGCCGTGCATGGCCCTTCTGAGCTCTGTTTTCACTTGCAGAAGCACTGCAGGCCAGTCCATTGTGGTTTCCAGGGCAGTTCCATGAGCCCGCAGGCCAGCCTTGAGTTTGACATCTCTGGTTTAGAAGATAAACCAAACCTTTTAACTTATTTCATTCTAAATATTAATTCTATCTAGTTGCTAATTTGTGAATATAGACAGTAAAGCCTGCAATAAATAAATATCCATCCATCCACCAATCCCTCCCTCCCTCCCTCCATCTAATTATCTCCCAGATAAACAATCACATTTTTTACAAAGAAAAATTATCTCTCTTTAGTGAGTCTGTAGCTTACTTCCACTGAAGTTAAGAAGACCTTCTAAATTATGGAAGTATTTATATACAAAATATATATTGTATTTTGAATGTTAGGCCCAAATAAAATTCTGATTTGGTTTAGAATCAATCCATCTCCATGTCAGGATTAAGGCTATCCCTAATTACATAACAAACATGAAACAAGCCCAAGACCACTTACCGTATATACTCGAGTATAGGCCGACCCGAATATAAGCCGAGGCACCTAATTTTACCACAAAAAACTGGAAA